TACAATTCAGTCTTCATGTTAACTTATCATAGTATGATCTCGAACTTTGTTAGAAGTCTTATTCAATTATGATCACACAAGTTTTGTTCGATTCCAAAATATCTTTGCTCTTAGAGTAAACCAACTATGCTCTATTGGTGTATTCCTACCGTGGCCATAAATTTCTTGAATGAACATTTATCGAAGTGCAATATGATAACTCCTTTAGCATACAAGGAATGACATGTCCTATCTTAGTCATACACCTATCTTCATTAGATTTCTAGTGCACCCAATGAATTGCCCATGTGCAACCCTTTAATGGGTCCATCAAAATAAGTGTCAAAGGGCATAAGTCTTCTAATAAGACAATCGTGATGACTTCAAGTATAAAAACCATTTGTACCCATCTCATATGAGATTCCCTTAGATAAAAACCAAATATATTCTCATGGCGAGTCAAGTCTAGTGATACGTTCTCTAACATAAATCACTTAAGTGCTTGCTTTGGCATCACCATGCCATTAGGTATGAGATCTTCTACTGCTATCATATAGCATGAGCATAGCACTCACAAGTCTATCCGTATATAGTCAATGTCCATTCTTGACAATGCTATGAGTTAGGATGTTTAATGATATCATTTATATGCATTAGTGTTTGTCTCATTTCTTTCAATTAATCACTATTGCAAATGCATATCATAAGGACTTCTATCCCATTCTACTAAATTTATAAAAAAAAACACAAGAATTAATAGAATGACTTCTTTATTATTATTAAAATAATTAATGCAATAATATATTAACTCAAGCCCATCCAAATATGGTTAGATCTTGGGCCCATACACTAATACATTCATGAGCTTATGTGATTAGATATTCATATATTGATTTGGACAATTAAACTTTGGAAGGTATCCTATGGTGGTTTCGACTTATGTGGTTATTTGATGTTACTAGGTTATATGTTCACATAATTATTGGTTAATTAAACTCTTGTGTTATAGTTGATGATTTTAGGTTACTTGGTTGAATGTTTATATGTTTGATTGATGATGGGAATACTTGTGAAGTCATAGAAAACTTTAGTTCTTGTATTGAATTCATGTTTCATGGTTTGGTTTCTTATGATTTGTTTTAGCCTCATGACTCGGTTCAATGTTACTTGATTTATGTTCATATAATGGCTTGATGAATGTGTTATAATTATATTCTTGTCATGAAAATGGTTTATCATGATTTTAATTATTTAAAAAAGAAGAAGAAAGGTTCATGTTTTTAAAGAAGATGATCCGGTGTATACTCTTTGCAAAATATAGTCAAGAGGACATACAAAAGGAATGATCTCATATCTACTCTTTGTATGTTTCAAAGAAAGCGAGCTAAGGGATTGATCTAGTGTATAATCTTAGTATGTTCAAAGAAGACAAGATGGTATACAAACAAAATGATCTAATGTATACTCTTTGTATGTATAAATAGGGTGTACCAATGGAATGATTTGGTATATAATCTTGGTATGGTCATAGATGGCTCATAAAGGGAATGATTTGATGTATACTCTTTGTGAAGATGATAAAAAACGTATTTTTAATATCATGAAAAAGAATTTATTTTCATTCATATATGATTACACTTACTAAGCATTAGCTCACCATTTTTTTTTTTTTTGATGTAGGTGAGTAAAATGATGCATGATCGATGGTATAGTGTAAAGTTGAAGATGTTACCATGAGGAGCTAAGTTTGCTAAGTCCGTACTATATGTATACCTATTAAATTTAAAGGCTAAACACTACCTAGTTTTGGTCACTTTAGGCCATTTTTGGTTTATAACCTTTTGTTACATTTGGAATATTGGATATGTTAAGTATAATTAGGTTTTGATGGATAATGACATGGTTTTCACTTATGAAATTGAATTAGTTTTTAATATATTAAACTAAAGAATTGCCTTGAATTTTAAACCAAATGACTTATGTTTCGCATTGTAATGTATAATAACATAGAGGACATAAGGTTTCATCTCGCATTCATTACACTAAGTATGTGAGGCTATTGCTAGCATTCTTGGCATCTTTTAGGTCGAGAGTATTACAATAACTCATAAAAATAATTACATGTACATATCATATTCCCATTAGAAAAAACTGATATCAACCTTCGAGACCAACATCAATTGTTTTATCATATACACATATTCATATTTAATCAATCATATTACAAAAAATGACGTAATACGAACATCACATTTCATCTATCATATCTCAAGCATCATAACATGTTTAATTATGCACATCAAAACCAAGACTCGCCTTGGATAATCTATTGGAATTAAAACCCATTTTCAATCATCCCAACTCCATTATAGAGCATTGACACAAACATTATTTTTGCTCAAGATCATGTGGTCTCGGACCTTTTCGGATTTGATATGTATTGGCATATCTAAACACACTTCAAATCTCATATTTAATCCATAGGCATCATATCCATTCATAACATTTATCCATACGCATTTGAATTTGATTGAAAGTAAAATCAATGCAAGAGTATTGAAAACTTACTTAATTAATCATAATGACTAAACTCGCCCTTTTAAGAGTGTTTGAAATATCTTTTAAATCTATATATCGAATATGCCTTTAGGGGCGGTTTGGTTTCAAAGGATGCTAGAATCATTTTTTATCGCTCAAACGGACTCCAAAGAGTGGGAAAAGGTGCTTAGAACCTTCTTTAACCTTTCGATAAAGACAAAAAATGTTGTTAGCTACGAGAGGGAAGGTTAACACGAACAAGTCAAGATTCTCTTTTCTACTCCTTTCTTACTTGCTCTATCAAACATGGGTTAAGGGTATTTTAGGCCAAATTCACTAACCATTGATTGAAATCATCACCATCTTCCCTAGATTAAGATTTAGACTTAGAGTTTCTATTTGATTTTAGGTTTCAAGGTTTAGTGAAATTTTGATGGAGGTGGTTTTTAACCAATGAGTTTGAAGCTACTATGGTCGATGACATTTTTGTGATTTTTAGGGGTTATGGTGGTGGGTTTTGGTGCTAAAAAGAGGTATTTTATGGGTATTTTGGAGTTGTTTGGCTGGAGAATTTGGGCTACTATGAAGCCGTGACCGATAACTTAGCGGGTTAGAATCTATAAAGTTGTTATCGACAAGCTTGGAGCTAGAAGTTGGTACACGGGTTTGGGCTATGAAAGAGATGACTAACAAGTTTGCAACTAAAAGCTATGGTTGGTGGTTCTTAGAGCTTTTGGGAGTTATGGTGCGATGGCTTAGTGGGTTTTTTAGAGTTGAGGTTGGTGGCTTTATGAGTTTTTAGAAGTTAAGGTTGGTGGGTTTTACATTTTAGGGGGCTAAGGTTAGCAACTATGGAGGTTTTGAGAGTTGGATTTGTGTTTTGGGGTGTGCATGATAATGGGTGTTGCAAGATTTTTGTTGTGAAAGAAAAAAATGGCTCTCTTCCTCTAGGTCGAAGAAGAGAAAATGGCTCCCATTCATCTTACGGAGAGAAAATAGGTTTTAATAGTGGGGTTTCTAAGAATTTTGGATAAAAACTCAATTTATCTTCTTTTTTTTTTCATTTTTCCCAATTCTAAACATTATGTCTTTATTTTCTCTTTAAACACAATTTCAATTACAATTGTTTTCGGTTAAGCCTCTAATTAAATTTTCTTAGTCCTAATCTCCCATATTTTTTAATTAGACCCAAATCTCCCTTTTGTTTTTCAATTTATTTTTTTCTTTTTCTTATCTCTCTTTTTTTTAATTGTTTTGCTTTTGTCTTTTCTATTATTTTTTAGTTTAAAATTTTAAAATGAATAGAGTACGGATTTGGTTTTTAACAAAATGTATTTTATCTTTACTTTTTCTAAGTTTTTTTAAAGAGAATGATCCGATATATATATATATTTTTATTTTTTTCAAAATTTATTTATTCAAATCCAATAAAAGAAGAAGAAGAAATAGAAAGACAAAGACGAAAAAAATAAATAAATGAAAAAGATTAAGATAAAAAAAATTTGATATGTGTTACAATAATATGCGATTTAAGACTATTTATTTAAAAACACTCGCACAGCTATCAACCCAAAAAATGGAAAGGCGTTTAGTGAAAAACAAAGATAAAGAAATACATGTCCTTGTGCCTGCAATTATGGAGACCTTTTGTTCCAACGTAAATTTATTTCCATAATGGACCACTAGAAATATGTGCTAAATATTTCAGCTAGATCTATGAGTTGGTTATACAGCTTTTTTTCAAAAAAAATAAAAATAAAAATTAAGTAATGGTATCTGATCATTTATTAATAACGTGAAATAAATACATGGGATGACCAGCCTTACTTAACACTCTTGGGGACAAGAATGCCTAACTCCTAATTAAGATTACTTCCTAAAATTATAAAAACCCAATTTATACTGCCTACAAACTATTTTAACAGGCAGAAGTAACTCATTATATAGGTAAAAGTGCAATCAATTTCATGATCAATCTCATGTCGGAAAGCTTGTGCATCTGTCACCATATTTTGTTCCAGCCAAATATATGCAAGTATGGTTGAACATCAATCCAAAACACTAAATTACAGTTGTTACAATGTCCGACAACTTATATAAACTCCTTTTTTTTCTCGACAATTTACTCTTAAGACTGATCGAGACTAAATTTATTTCTCTTCATGGATCTGCTGAATCCTAGAGAGTAAATTTCTATAAATTTAATTTCACGTAAAAAAATAATTAATTTTCCGTTACGCAAATTAATTTGAGTTCGATTTATTTATTTGCTCATACCTATTATTAATTATGACTGTAGCATTCATAATATATTGTGAAAAAAGATGATGATGTACATTTAAAGAGAAAAACAGGATTACTACGTAGCAGTAAAATCTTACATACAGCTTCCATAGATTAAAACACTAAAAACAGAAAGAGGAAAAAAAGCATAAAATACACAGATTTATCAAAATAGACTCCCAAATCACAAGCACCCATTTTCAATGACCCAACTTTACCCTACCACGACTTTCATCAAGACGATTAATCATGTACAAAGCATTACTAGTAACCCTAGCAACATTAGTAATCTTTCTTTTCACATCATCCTTGACTTTGCTTTCAACTTCGTGAAACCCATCAAGACACGTGTCCTCGTTAGTCAAAGCAGCACTGACCCATGTCTGTGCATTACTCATCTGCCACCTAAACGTTTCCCCTCTCAAATGCTTCAACTCGCTCAGTGTCTTGCTCAACTCATCCACCGAGTCAGATATCTGCTCAACACAATCACTCAGTGCAACTCGCTCTCTCTTTGTTTTAAGACCCGAGAGTGCGTTCAAGTAGTTTGATACTTTCCTGGCGCGAGCAAGGCTTACCTTTACAGCTGCTTGGGCTAGGTCACGTGGGGTGTTGGCAGGGCCTGCATAAGAGGAAAGAGTGCGGAGGCAGAGGTTCGGGTAACTGGCGTGGACGCATGATGAACGGACTAGATCTTGTGGTGCATTGTGGGTTTTTACAGCGGCGGAGTAAGGAGAGGTAGAGAAGGAAGTGAAGAGAAAGATAAGGCTAAAGAGAGAGAAAGGGAGAGACATTGTTTCGAAATCTTTCAGTGGCTTGGTGTCGCAGTGTAAGAGAGAACGTGAGTGACGTTATCACCATGGCTGATGGATTTTATAAGGAAGTGGTGCTAGATTTCGGGCTTAATGTTAAGATTTAATTACGGAATTGACCTCCCAGTGATTCATGCTTTTTATGCATGACGCGGCACAAGGATATGAGGTTAGTTTAGTCCAAGGATGTGTTATAGAAAGGGGAATATTAAATGCACCGTAGTTAGTTGCTGGTCGACATGCACCAAATCTCCTGTGCATTTATTAATTCATGACCATCCCCACTCCAGGCTTTGGACTCTTGTCCAAGAAGTTGATATTTTTTCCTCTCTCTTTTTATATTACTGTAATTACATAGTCTTTTTCTTAGTTGCGAGACAAAATAGTAATTCGATAGGTCAAGTTTTTATGGAGGTTGTTGGGTCCATCATTTCAAGTTTCAGCCAATCCAAGAACAAAGGATCTGATCTTCTCACCCTTTGGTCAAATTATATACTGATCTAATCCATATAACGGCACACACATGGGTCTAAACTACAATTACATCCTTTTTATATTGGCCTGAAGGTAAAATGAGTTATTGCCGTTACCATGAGACAAATTACATCATAATAAGATATTTTGGTACATATGAGATGTTATGGAACGAGAGGATCCATGGAATAGTGTAACCCCAGCAAGGTTTGGCTAACTATCCACTCTAGATGCTAGCTAATGGAGCTATATATAGCTCTACCTCCTTTCCCGCTTTTTAAAATGAATAGCAGCTGATCCAAATCCAAAAATGATGCAAAAAATTTAGTACCTTTGAAGGCGATAGGTGCATGGTTTTTGTTCTGCCAAATAAGTCCATGTAAGTGAAACCTTGTAATTATTTGAACACAGGGGTCTTGCCATGACTAAATAATTAAAATCAGTGTAAATAATTATGTGGCTCCAGTTTGATCTGAAAGCTAGCGTGAGCATCTAAGCTCTGAAACAGGTCGCGTGCCATGGACAGTGTTTCAGGGGCCCTTTTCGTTCCCACCCATGACCAAACAGAATCACCAGCACAAAAAGTCATATAGGAAAGTGATCAGGCTTTGGTTCAACTAATTCAATGACTTTTGCAGCTCGTTCAACTTTTGATAAGGGAAAGATGTTCAGTTGGTCCCATTAGAGGAAATTTGCAATTTTGATCATTAAGCAGTTATCATGCATACATAAGACTTAAAACTAAGGGAAAATCCTTAAATTAACCGATGTATTTATATTAATTATTCATTTAGACTCTTTTGTTTTTAATTTGATCAATTAACATCTATATTTTTTGAATTTGTACTATTAACCATTACTTTCAAAAATTTTCAAATTAAAGCAATAGCTAACTTATGTCAAAATTTAGTACTAATATCGAATTTTGCATTATTAAATGTTTTTGATTTAAGATATGATCTTCTAAATTTATGTAGGACATGTATCTTCAAATATGCAGTCTTAAAAAAATATTAAAAATATATAGATCATGTCAGTTGTGATTTTATACATATTATTTGATAAAAAAATAAAATATATAAAGAAATTGAAAATAATAATAAAAAAATTACTTCTTTCCAAGTTCCTCTTGTATAAAAAATGGTTAAATCTTTCTAATGAAAATTGACGGAAATAAAAAAAAAAAAAAAACCTAAGCCAAAATGATTAAAAAATAATGGTTTACTCATGGATTATTATAAAATAATGAATGTCCATATAAATGTTTATATGTTTTCATATTTTTATTACTTATAATTGTTAATGTGATTCAATTTACTATTTAATATGAAAAATTGAAAATGTTATACAATTGATTAAACCATTTATATATTTTTAATGGTTCATAGTCCTTAATTTTTAGTTCTCATCTTAATCTTGAAACATATAAATAGGCTTGATTGTTCATCAGTTTGTGTACAAGTATTTTGTAGAGATTGAGAGAGTATTTGGAGTTGTTATCTCTTATATTCACTTTATTTTATAGTGAATTTATTTTTCTATCATCTTTCTCTTCAATTCTATCATTGTTACCACTTTATAAGACGTTATCAGCACGATTGTTCTACCAAACGATGCCAATCATTTAAACTATTAAGAGGTATGTATCTAATTTATCTTTTACTTTAAATCTAATGGTACATATAGTATATATTTGAAAAACTTGAATAATCTAATATATATTCTAATAATCTAATGCATATCATTTTGAGAAGTTATTATTATGTTTATTTTTATTTTCTAACATTATTATTATATTTTATATTATATAATTTTTATTATGTCAAACCTCACAAAGTTTGATTTTGTAGCCTTTGACATTTTGGGCAAGAATTATTTATCACGAGTGCGTGATATTGAGATATATTTAAATGCCAATGGTTTTATGTAATGCCCCGATCCATTACTAAATAAATTTAAAATATATTAAAGGTGTGAGAAAAATATTTCATAGGCATGGAATAATTGTAAATAGGTTGATAGAATATTAGATGCATTTAGGATGATTTTTCGATACAGAGTGAATATTTTATTTGATTTTTGATGCATAAATAGTGACTTTTATGCAAATTAATTATTTTAAGCGTGATGAATGTGCATGAAAAATATTTTTCTTGCCTAGAATATTTGATAGAGGGGTGCTAGATTATTTGATATCATTGGGTGAATTTTTTGATGCTCTGTGATTATTTTACATGAAGTTTATTGTGGTTAAATAGTATTTTTGAGGTAAATTAATTAATTTAAGCGCTTTAAAGGTACAAGAAAACTATCCAGTGGGCATAGAAAAATCATTTAGGATGTATAGGAATATTTTATAAACTTGGATGAATTTTCCTATGTATAAGGAATATTTTCTATAGGAAATAATGTATTTTTACACTAAATAATTAATTGGACGACCTAAATAAGTGCATAAAAATTATGTAAACAATGATTAAATTCTTTTAGAAGGTGTTTGAATTCATTATGAAAAAAAAATGTGGAAAGACATGGAATAAAATTTTAGAATTAAGGACCTAATTGTATAATATTAAAAATTTAAACTTTCAAATTAAATTAGTTATGAACTTTGGGAATTCAAAATTTGTTAAAAAAAATCCTTTAAAATCAGGACCTAAAGTAATCAATTGAAAAATTGAGGGATTTATGGATGAGTAATTAAAGGAAAGATTAGTAACTTTAAGGACCAAAATTAAGCACTTTTCGGGATAGATTTTTCTCCTTTCTGCTCGCCCATTTCAGCTCAATAATTAGGGTGTAATTAATGCATGTACATATGGAAGGATTAGATTTAAAGAGAGTGGTTAGATGGAGGGAAAAAATTTAAACACTAAATCGATGGTTATGATGAAACCAATTGAAAGGATAGGATCAAAAGAAAAGTTAAGGACCAAGATTAAACCAAATGAAGGGTTGTGATGGAGTCAACCAAAGAAAAAAGTCAACCTAATTTGCCTATAAATATAGGTGGTAGGAATTATGGAAAATGTTAGAAAATTAGCAAAATTAGGGAAAACTCTTGCAAATTTTCCTTAGGATCCTACTCAAATTTTCACCTAAACACTTTTAAACAACCTAAATCAACTAATTAAGCAAGGAATTCAAGCTAGAAGATCAAGAATCATAAAGAGAAAAAATTTGAGTTTGAGTCGAAAATTGAAGCATAAAAAGGGAAAAAGAATTTTCCAAACAATCCAACTCGTCAAGGGTAATTTGGAGCTTATTTGAGTAATTTAATCTCATTTACACTAGAAGGAGTGTTTATCTTATATTAATTGACGGTTTGGTGCCCTAATTTGATTTTTAATTGCTTTAATTTTGAAAATTATGGTTAGGTTTCTTAGTTAGGAAAATTCGAGGGAAATGAGTTTAAGCTCGAAATTCATGCAATTAAGTTTAAAATAGGTTAAGTGGGCTTGAAATTGAGGAAGAAAGATCAAAATTTCCTAGGGTTTGAAGAGAGAAAAGTTTCAGCCAATTCTTGAATTTTAGAGTTTTTGATGCTTTACTTGTTTTGATAATTTTATCACTTTATTATGTGTTAATTAGGTGTGAATTGATAATTGAATGTGAGAAATTGCATTAAAATTGAAGAAATTTTCATGTAATTCTTAGGGAAGCATTCGACCTAAAATGTCCAATTTTAGGGTTTTGATTTCTTTGGTCACTTGATGAATTGTTGGTTGATTAGTAGTTGATTAAGTATGAATTGATGAATAGAACTGAGAAATTTTATAAAAATTATAGAATTTCACTTAAAATACTTAGGCTCATATCAGCCCAATTAGGAGAAAAATTAGCGTTTAGGTACATTTGGTTCAATTGATCAATTTAGAATAATATAATGAGATGAATTATAATGAGAAATCACATTGAAGTTGAAAAAAATAACTTAAATTACCTAAGTTAGGATTTTGGCTCATTAAGGCCTAATTTAGGGTTAATGCATATATTCAATCAATGAATGCCCGATTGATTTAACTCTTAATATTAAAGCATAATTGAATGAAATTGTAGAAGAAATTGGTGATGAAATTGGGAGAAAATGTTTGGGTTACCTTATGGTTGATATTTGGTCTAAGTTAGAATTTTTAGGGTTTATGTTTTTGTTTGTGTAATTCAATTGTAATTTGGTTCCTTGGGTGCCATATGATGTTTTTAATGTGTATATGATGGGTGGAACTTCTAATGTTGATGGTTATGAAAATGCATTGTTTTATATTGTGTGATGATTGCCATTATTTAGAATGTTTTGGAATGGTTTTAATGAGGTGATGTAGTGCAATTTATGTTATTAAATTATGCATTATCATGGCATAAATGCATCTCACTCATGGCATGCATTTCATGAGATTATAATGGCTATGCATTTACAATAAAATGCATATGTATGCTAATTCATGGAAAGGATTCAAAGTTATGAAAATTTTCCTTTATGATTTTCTAAAAGCATTGGGAAAATATTT